CCAAGGCAGCAGGGAAGAAGGATGGCCATCTGGCTGTTCAGTAAAATGAAGACTGAGCATGTGGTAGCTCCTGAGAAGAATTTATCTGTTATTTTATTTTATTTATCACATTTATATAGCTATCCATCTCATGCAAAGCGACTTAGGTGGTCATTATGACTCACACAATGACTTAGGTGGTCATTGGCAACTGCCTGACAGCAACTCTGGTTCAACTAGTTTGCCTTTTTTACCAGTGACTTCCCATAGTGGTGAGGATGGTGCCATGCTCTTTTCTTGGCTGGGAGGAAGCATCTCTGTCCAGACCCAAGTTTACACCTTTTAATAGTGTGGGCTCCATTCCTTCTGTTGTCACCAGACATTGGAGCTCTGCAAATACTGTACTCTTCCTTCACCTACCTCTCAACACTTCTGGCTATCCAGAAATTTGTGACTCCTCCAACTTGCTTATTACTTCCTTTTTGAGAACGGGAAAATGTCTACAGAGCAAATGTCAGTAGGCTGTTAGTTTATGTCAGGGGTCTTTCACTGGCATGTTTAATTATTTTAATTAATAGAGCAATTCCAAACCAAGTATGATCCAAGTGTTACTTGTTAATGTTAGTAAGTCTTTTTTTGCTCTTGTATTACAAATAATAACATTTTGATTACCGGTTCTGTTTTAGTCTGGCCATAAAAGAAGCATTTCTTATTTGACTGCAAAGTGATTTCCGGCAGTGGCCATGTACTTCAGTCCCTGTAATTAAATTTGCAGTAGTTTATTGTGTATTGCTGTTGTAGCATTTTCATGGTTTATGGCCAGACAAGAAAAACTTGTTGAATGTGTAATGCTAGTTACTGCATTTGCTATAACATTGTAATAAAAACAAATTTGGAGATACTGATGGAAATAGAGATCTTTAATATTATGTTAAATTCTAGATATACACTTTTCCTGTTTTGGGGAAGGATCTGGGGTCAACTGTATTTTGAGCTGAATCCTAACTTCCAGCAAATGCTACTTAATGCTTGCTATATGTATAGTATTTTCTAAAGAGTTTACTAGGATAAGCTTATTTTTCTAGGAAACTTGCTTTGTATAATAAAGGTTGTTTCTTTATGTCTTGAATTGTTAATCTTGGGCATATTGCCATGAAATATGTAAATATGACTGTGAATAATCTGTTCAGCTTGGTTTACGAAAAAACATGTCTGAAGCCCCCACTTGCATGCTTAATTTGCCTGTCATTATTTCGTACTTGTAAAGTAATAGATAAGAGACAACTACTGAGTCAAAAATGTTTCACAACATCAGCAATCTATCTTCTTTTATATTAAGGTCCTAAATAGTATTCTAGCTAAAGTTGTCCTGCTTTTGGTTTTGTTCCCTCTATTCCCTGTAGTGTCAACTTGATAGACTAAATAGTTGTTATAAAATTGAATTTGCAATGGTTACCATTTAATAGTGCACAAAAAACATGTTTGTGCCTTTCTAATGTGAGAAGAGACATAGCTTCCAGGAGGAAATCTTTCACAGTTATTAAAATAGATTCTCCTGGAAAGAAGGAAATAAAGTTGAAACATAACTTGCCTTCCTAAATCATACTACCACAGATCTTATTGCATATACACTAAACAGTTGATACTATGAATTGTGTGATAAAAGCTGTCTGTCTATCATGGAGCACGGCATCAGATTTTTCAAGTATTTTCATAATTTATTTAATGCTCACATTTGTTTGCCACTCCCATACTGACTCTGAGCAGCATGCAAGGGGAAAAAAAAGACAATGTATTAAAAACAACTAAACAATAAGGCACCATCCACTGGGGTAGGCCCAAACTAACATCCCTTAAAAGCTTTATCAAATAAACATGTTGTTATGGCCCTGTGAACACCCAACAGAGAGGAAGTGGTCCAGATGTATGAGGGCAAACTCTCACAAAAGGCCATCACTTCATCACTGAGAAGGCCAGATTTTATGGTCTCTGCAGATGAAACAGTATTTGATAGGTATGGTTTATAATCAACATTGTTTAATATTCTACTGAGAAAATTCATTACTTATTTTGTGGTACCATTTTTGTGTGTATAGTCTGATTTATCAGTCTGATTAAGACTATTTGTCATGAAATCTCTGTAGTCTCACCTCAGCTATGAATACAGTTGCAAAGTAATTCTATACATGTCTATTACTAAGTAAGTCCAAATGAGTTTAATGGGACTTAATTTAGGAAAGGGAAGTGGCCTTAAATAACAAGCCAATTTTCTTTCAGTTTGTAATCCTTAATAATGGTATAGCATGTATATATTTATGGTAGGGGTTACTGAAATAAATTATGTGCAGACAGTTGGAAAAGAACGAAGAGCATAATGGGTTATAATTGAAAATAAGGGACTACATTAGAGAAAGAAGTTTACTTTGTTACCAGGCTCTTCAGCATAATGTATACACTATTGCTAATTTTTTATCTTGGATTTCTCTGTGTTGCAGCTCTCATTTGTGGAAAAAAGGCTTTCTAAATTCAATAGTATATTCCCCCTTTCCCTCACCATTATGGAATACATGGGTAAATAATTATTTGGGACATTTATTTCTAATGAACTGAGGCTAATGTCTAGGAAAGAAAATAAAAAAAATGGTCTTAATATGATTTATAGGAATGTGCAAAATGGAACAGTAAATGAAGATGCAACTGAAGCCATAGACATGCATATAGCTATGTATATTTCTCAGAAAACAGATTCACATTCTGTGTCAAGAATTTCCCAGTTTTGTATTATAATCGTTCATGAATACGATCAGTTTACTTGTCTCATTATATTTGGGATGAACAATATATTTAAATTCTATTATCTATCATAGATATACCTACTTATATGGATTTTGATAACTTGATCCTCTGAAAATTGCTAACCGTTATGATTGTATAGCAATAGTTTGAAGTATTAGTGTAAATGTGTGAACTAAAAGCTTTGCTGGCAGTCCTGGTGATGAGATAGAACTTAATTGCTAGGAAGAAACAAGGAGTACAGGCTGTATATGCCATCTTTCCCAATTCATAATGCTTCAGATCCTTAGCATTTTCCCTCCATTTCTGAGGATTTGAGTCTAATGTTGTTATAGCAATATTTTATACTCAGTGGTATGTGCATAGAACATATATACTCTGCTTGTTCTCACACCATAAACATAGTATCTTTTTAATATATTGAGATAACAAAATAACAGTACTAGATAATTCTCTTTTTTAGGAAGGCTTGTTGAAAGGTGGTTGGGTTATGGCTTCAGTCAAGTTTCATAGTGGGACATAATACTGAGATAGCATTGGTTGCACTTGCTGGTGGCACCAGGGCAGGGATAGTGCACTTGTACTGGTTCTCCTTGATTTCTCAGCAGCTTTTGATACCATTGACCATGGTATCTTTCTGGACTGATATGGGGATTAGGAATGGGAGACATGATGTTGTGGTGATTCTTCTCCTTTCTCTGTGATTGGTAGCAGGGAGAGATTGACCCAGAAACTCCGGGCATGTGAGTGGGCTTAGGGCTCTTTCTCTTTCTGTTTAACATTTACATGAGATTGCTGGGTGAGGTCATCCATCATTTTGAGGTCAGCTATCAGCAGTATGTTGATGATACCCAGTTGTACATCTTGAACATAGGCTGGTCAGGTGATATTATCAAGGTCTTGTCTCAGGGTCTGAAAACTCTGCAGATGTGGCAGAACATCTCAAACAGGCTCAAGCTCAAGACTGACAAGACTGAATGGGTGTGGGTATTTGGACTACCCAGATCTAGGGATATTCCATCTTTAGTCCTGAATAGGGTTGTACTTCCCCTTTCGGGATTGGGGAACAGCTTGGGGGGGCTTCACAGTCCTGCTCAAGCAGTAGGCACCAGGTGTGGCCAGGAAAGCCTTTACATAAATTCATCTAGTGCATCAGTTGCATCCGTATCTGGACTGAGAAACCCTTAGGACAGTCGCTCATGCTTTGGTTTAGACTGTTGCAATACGCTGTACGTGGGGCTGCTCTTGAAGGCCACTCAGAAGTTCCAGCTGATTCAGAATGTAGCAGCATGGGCAGTTATGGGGATTGCCACAATATGCCCATGTAACAACTCTGATGTCGGGTTTAGCCCAGGGAACTCCAGGAGACCATGCAGGTTCAATCCAACAAGGTTTATTAGCTGCAACCTCTGCTGTAC